ACAAACCTGTAACTTCCCCAAGGCAATGCAGTCAACCAATCTAAATAATTACGAGTGACATTAAATTCACTTGAACTAGCCTCTAAAAGCTGCAGTTTCGTGAGCTCTTCTTCTATAACTTGCAAAATATGCACTGGGATTTTATCCTTGTTTGGTTCAAGCCTTTCCCTAAACTTTGCTGCAGCAATTGAGAAGAAATTATTTAAATGGATACCGAAATAAATAAAATCTACAACAACTGATTATATCCATAACGCAGGAGCCAGGAGTGATAATCAAATCAAACAATGAAAAAAAAGTAGCTTGAGTATAACCATTTAGGACAGGCAGCAAGCAATCAAAGCATTCAAAAACATGAATTATACAAGTAACAGTGGCATCAGGCCTTTCAGAGTAAATATGATGTCATTTGAGAGTAAGTAGAACCACACTATGCAATACGTATTTCTTGCTTAACTTATGCTTCTAAGAATTTAATAACCTTGAGGTTTTTAAGTGTAACACCATCAATAGCCATGCAATTCCAACAAAGGCTAATCAAACCAGAACTAACCAGAAAGTGCTGTTTTGTCATCTGCCTCCAATCCCAGTTCCTGCATTTAGGCAAGTTATATACCAGTGAAGTCTAATGTAATAAATACGACTCCTTTAAATCCATTTCCCAATTATATTAGTTAATATAAGAATAAGGTATCAAAGATAATAAACATGTCAGCAGACCATATACCTTCTTTATGGCCTTGAGTTGTTCATTCAACAAATAGCGGCGCTGCTCACCACTAATCTTCTCTTCAATTGCTTTTGCAATAGATTCCTAAAGCAACTCCAGAAAGTTAATGAATGAGAGTCAGAACAATGGACTTTGATACATATATGGAGTCACAAAATAATTAATGGAGTACCTGGATCTTGCTGATTTCAATTTCTTTCTTCACCAACTCCAGAGTTAGTTTCAAACGTTTATGCACCTACAACAGAATTGCAGAAGGATATGAAGATCCACATCTTACACCATATAAATGTCAGCAGAAAATGTTCACAAGTAAATTACATCAAAACTGTGCTCTTGAATTGCAGCAAGTTTGGGTTAAATTTCCATAGCTTCAACAGTATTCCTATAACTGCTATCCAAACAGCTTCAAAAAAAAAAAAAACACTCAACTCTTTTTTATTATATTATTTAACTTTAAGAAAAGAATCTGCTCAGTGATTACAAAATATACCAGACACAATCTGACGTGTTTTCCTTATAGTAAATCACCTGTGAATCCTCTCTTAGAAACACAACACAGGAAGAATCACCAATGAATCCAATAAATTTGATTGATTAATGAATCGGACATAGATCTTTCATTAATAATAGCAGTAATAATTCTATGGCAACACTATTCCACCATTTATCTAGTTTGAATTTTTTCAACACTTCCTAGAGTTAAAAAAAAATAATGTAATCACCAACCAATCAACTAAGAAGAAGAAGAAGAAGAAGAAGAATTAAACATGTCCAGAATTCGAACGAAGGGTAATCAAATACCAAAGAAGTTCTCGTCAGACTGAATTCCTTTTTCACCATTCCATTGTCTTAAAGATTTCATGTACTAAAAGAATTAAACATCAAGTGCATTGCCAGTGACACAAGGATCTTCACCAGACTATAATTATACTGCTACTTACATCCAGCTCTTCAAGAACTTCTTGGCACTGCAACTTGCTCGCGCCTGATATTGCAGCCCCAAAATCTGCTAACCTTGGAAAGTTAAAGTCACCTACATGCTGCAAATGTTGAGAGGGAAAAGAGAACCTGCTGTAAGAAAATTTGAAAACCCAATTGATCCAATCAATAAACATTGTGACATTTGTGTATGAAACTATACTTCTGGAAATTACCGTTGTGCTGCATTACAATCATTACTACATTGCAAAGAGACCATGTGCAGACAACAACAAAAAACCAGCACACATAATTGTATAGAACCCACTTTTGGTTTCAACCTGTTATCGTAAAAATCAAAAGGAAAGCTTACACTGAGTGGAAACCAAGTTACTACTTCATAGATTCACATTTCTGGAAGCAGCAAAAACTAAAAATTGAAAGGAAACTTAGACTTGAGAACCAGATGTAGGATCATCACATGGTAATAAATATTATAAATGATAACCATGATAATAGAAGGAAGGCTCCCTTGTACAAAAATTGAAAAATTTAGGAGAAGAAGTTTCAGATAGAGACAAGCTTTCCAAGGGCCCTAGTCAAAACCATAACACAATTTGCACAGGAAAGACAGATCACAGAAAATCTTGAGAGAGGAACAAACCTGTGTATATGTTTGAACATGATCTCTCCAAAGTGAACTTGTCTTCAGAACATCTCTCAGGGTTGATATAACCTCAAAAGATGTTGCCTTTATGACATCATCATCCTTGTTATATGGTTTGTCCTGAACACAAAGAAAAGCAAGAGCATGGATGAGAAGGTGCATGAGCATCATTTGCATGTGTGAACCCTTAACTTTACTTAAACATTCAATCATAAAATTTGGAAAAATCAATACCTTGAGATGATCAACTTTAACAGTTAATGGATCCTCACTGGCCTGTACAAAAGCCAATACTATTTCAGTATAGAGAATTTTGCAGCTAACTGGACATATTAATAGAATAGAATAACATAATGCTTTTTGAAAGTCCAAGCAAAAATAAAATGACAAGTTCATCCACACTCACCATTTCAGTTATCCGAAGTCGCCGATGACCAATAAGGATAACCTGGTCTCCTTGAATGGTTGTTATCTGGAATAGCATGTTAAAGATTAAATGACAAAGGCACATGTAAAATTTTCTTATCGTTGTTTTATTCTGAAGCAGCAACTCTTTGTGGCAAAAGGGAAAAAGAAATTAGGAACAAAACTTAACACCTGAGCAAGTGTGCCAACTTCATGCAGACGATTATACAAATCCTTTCCCTTAAGATCACCTATATTTTTCTCGGATTCAGAACCAGTTACAATGCTGGGATCAGTATCTGGCTCATCTTTAAGAAGAAAAGCGCCACAATAGGGGGCTTGCCTTTTTCTGCTTTCTTGTAAAGCTGCCAATAATTTAGGATCCTGCACAAAAATGTCATGCATTGGTAAGAACTAATTGTAAACGATGCAAGTTCAAAGTTTCATCACAACATATCCAACAGATTGACATGCAAAGTGGTATCCTATCAACAAAGATATTAGTGAATATGATGTGAAAAGGCATGGACAGACTAAACCATTTTTTACCCTTTCCTGTCACTCGCATGGCTAACAGACTCCCAGTAATAATGTCAGAAAAATACACAGCAATTTACCAAGAAAACATGCTATACCTTTACATATATTGGCATGTAGAAACCAGGGAAAAGAGGTCTGTGTGGTAATGGCAATGCCAACACCTGCCAAAAGAAAAACCACAAGAGATTAACTCACATGAAAAAAAGAATCAATCAATCTCAGAACATTCACAAAATTAGCCAAAAGAGTTTCTATTACACCAATGCAATTCAGCAAGTATAGCTTACTCCTATCCACCCTATCGTTTACTCTTCTTCAAAAACTCAAAACAATAACATATATATATATATATATATATATCACAATTTCCAAAAAGAAAGTAACTTTGGCAAACCAATGCACATTTATAAACCTCAGATACTGAAGAGCATAATTACGTCATTAACCACATAAATCAAAAACCCGTTTTTGACACTTCCCAAACCAAAACTTCACACTCCATTTATATTGGTAAACAGTTTCTAAATCGAAATTTTAAAAAAAAATCTCATGTTTAATCTCCAATTCATTACCAAACTAATAAAGCCTCCCCTCTCTGACAAGCAAAACAGTTTCTATAACACCAATACGATTCAACAAGTATAGCTTACTCCAATCTACCCTATTGTATCCTCTTCTTCAAAAACTCAAAACAATCACATAATATCACCACAAATGCCAAATAGAAAGTAACTTTGGTAAACCAATGCACAATTTTAAACCTGAAAATGCTCTACAACATTATCATAATCAAACTCTACTCATCATTATCAAAATGAAAAGCCCATTTCAGTCCCTTCCTAAAAAAACTAAATTGAACTCCAAAACCCTAAACAACACATAAAACCCACCATTTTCCTTCACTTTCTCTAACTTCTCCACACTTTCTCGGCATCCAAATAAAACCCCAAAATCATAAAAAGTTCAAAACTTTATTACACTTGCCGTTAAATAATCCTCTGGTCTAGGATTAGTAGGTACAATAGCCGAAGAATTACTATAATCCGCAGCACCAACTTCAGCCTCTGTATCGTTGGCACCACTCCTGACCTCGACCTCAACAAACCCACCTCCGTCGCCGCCATCGCCGGAAGAAGAACCAGAGCAAACGAAGGCTCTTTGATAAAAACTAAGACTTTTATGATTCCTCTGAGTCAAACCGGTGAGTGAGCTCAGAGACTTTAGAAAGGAACTCGGTTGTGACTCGGTGGTGACTCGGAGACATGGGGATGTTAAGTGGGTTTGAATTTGGCGAGAAGTGGAAGACAGGAGCTTTAGCATTGTCTTGTGTTGTTGGGAGTTTAAGGGAAGTAAAGAGCAGAATCGGAAAATAGTGGGTTTTTTTTTTGTTAATTTTGAGTCTCCATTGGAGGAGGAGGAGGAGAAGAAAGTGATAGATGTTGTTGGAGTTTCGTAGGAAGCAAAGCCCTGCATAAACCCTTTTTGAGTTTTGTGTTCCTTGAGGTTATTGTTTATATAGATGGACAGTTTGGTCCTATGATTTAGGTTAGTACGCTTAATCTAAATGCAGTGTTTTTCCCTTCTACTTCGTTTAATTTGTTTTAGAGGTCGGTATTGCCAAAATTCTCTCAAAGAAGGAGGACATATCAGTACTTGAACCTAAATTATAGGACCAAACTGTCCATCTATAAATGAAAACTTCAAGGAACACAAAACTTAAAAAGGGTTTCACGCTGGGCTTTGCTTCCTACGAAACTCCAAAAACATCCACAACTTTCTCCTCCTCCTCCTCCTCCTCCTCCTCCAATGGAGACTCAAAATTAACAACAACAAAAAAACACAAGACAATGCTAAAGCTCCTGTCTTCCACTTCTCGCCAAATCCAAACCCACCTAACATCCCCATGTCTCCGAGTCACCACCGAGTCACAACCGAGTTCCTTTGTAAATTCTCTGAGTTCACTCACGGGTTTGGCTCAGAGGAACCATAAAAGTCTTAGTTTTTATCAAAGAGCCTTCTTTTTCTGTGGTTCTTCTTCCGGCGATGCCGGCGATGGAGGTGGGTTTGCTGAGGTGGAGGTCAGGAGTGGTGCCAGCGAGACAGAGGCTGAAGTTGGTGCTGCGGATGCTAGTGATTCCTCGGCTATTGTGCCTTCTAATCCTAGACTAGAGGATTATTTACCGGTAAGTGTAATAAAGTTTTGAACTTTTTATGATTTTGGGGTTTTGGGTTTTGTTTGGATGCTGAGAAAGTGTGGAGAAGTTAGAGAAAGAGAAGGAAAATGGTGGGTTTTATGTGTTATTTAGGGTTTTAGAGTTCAATTTAGTTTTTCTACGAGGGGACTGAAATGGGCTTTTCGTTTTGTTAATGATTCAGGTTTAAAATTGTGCATTGGTTTACCAAAGTTACTTTTTGTTTTTGGCATTTGTGGTGATATTATGTGATTGTTTTGAGTTTTTGAAGAGAGGATATAATAGGGTGGATAGGAGTAAGCTATACTTGTTGAATCGTATTGGTGTTGTAGAAACTGTTTTGGCTTTTCAGAGAGGGAGGCTTTATTAGTTTGATAATGAATTGGAGTCTAAACAAGAGATTTTATTTTTATTTTTTTTCCATTTAGAAACTGTTTAGCAATATAAATGGAGTGTGATGTTTTGGTTTGGGAAGTGACAAAAACGGGTTTTTGATTTGTGTGGTTAATGAGAGGTAATTATCCTGTTTAGTATTTGAGGTTTATAATTGTGCATTGGTTTGCCAAAGTTAATTTCTTTTTTGGAATTTGTGATATGAATATGTGATTGTTTTGAGTTTTTGAAGAAGAATAAACGCTAGGGTGGATAGGAGTAAGCTATACTTGCTGAATCGCATTGGTGTAATAGAAACTGTTTTGGCTAGTTTTGAGTTTTGATGTGTGATTTATTAGTGAACATTTTCTGCGGACATTTATATGGTGTAAGATGTGGATCTCCATCCTTTTGCTATTCTGCTATAGGTGTATAAATGTTTGAAACTCACTCTGGAGTTGGTGAAGAAAGAAATAGAAATCAGCAAGATCCAGGGAAGATTTCTACAAGGAACCATTTTCCCGAGAAACAAACAAGGAAAAAGGCAATTCAGTGCATTATCGTTAGACGAATCCCTCAGCCCCGCCATTACAAACATTATATCAAACCAACACTGGTCAAAACTCAAAGCCCATCTCCAAAACACAGACCCCAACACGCTCCTTCAACAGTTGCTCAATTCTGGAGCTGATCCAGAACTCATTTTAAGGTACTTTACTTGGTCACAGAAAGAGTTTAAGCTTTCACACTCACTAGAACTCACTTTTAGAATCTTAAACTCACTTGCACTTACCAAGAAGTATTCAAAGATTAGATCTTTTTTAGATAAGTTTGTTAAGCATGAGAAGGATTATTCAGTTTCTGCTATATTTCATGCTATTCCTATGAGTGGTGATTCCTTTTGTGTTAATTCAATATTAGCTGATATGTTGGTATTAGCATATGTGCGAAATTTGAAGATTTTAAGGGGTTTTGAGGCATTTAAGAGAGCTGGTGATTATGGTTTTAAGCTGTCTTTGATTTCTTGTAATCCATTGTTGAGTGGTTTGGTTAAGGAGAGTGAAAATGGGGATATGGAGTTTGTGTATAGGGAAATGATTAAGAGGAAGATTGAGCTTAATGTAATTAGTTTTAATATTGTGGTTAATGGGTTGTGTAAAGTTGGGAAATTGAATAGGGCTGGTGATGTTATTGAGGATATGAAAGTGTGGGGAGTTTCTCCGAATGTGATTACATATAATACTCTCATTGATGGGTATTGTAAGATGGGTAGAATTGGGAAGATGTATAAAGCTGATGCTATTTTGAAGGAGATGGTAGCGAAAGGAATTTGTCCAAATGAGGTTACTTATAATATTTTGATTGATGGGTTTTGCAAGGATGAGAATGTGTCAGGTGCTATGAGGGTGTTTGGAGAAATGCAAAGGCAGGGTTTGAGACCAAATGTTGTGACATATAATATACTGATTAATGGGTTGTGCAGTGATGGAAAGGTTGATGAGGCTGTTGCTTTACGGGATCAAATGGTTAGTTCTGATTTGGAGCCGAATGTTGTGACTCATAATGTGCTTATAAATGGCTTCTGTAAGAATAAAACAGTGAACGAAGCAATCAACTTATTTAATGATATGGAAAAACAAGGAGTAGATCCTAATGCCATGACATATACCACGCTGATTGATGCTTACTGTAAGGATGGAGGGATGGAAGATGCATTTGCACTATATAATATGATGATAGATAGAAGGATTTTCCCTGAAGTTTCAACATACAACTGCTTGATTGCTGGTTTATGTAGTAAGGGAGATGTGAAAGCAGCCCGGAATCTTATCAATGAAATGGTCAGTAAGAAATTGAGTGCTGATGTTGTCACATATAACATACTGATAGATTCGTTATGCAAAAAAGGGGAATCGAGAAAGGCAGTGAAACTCTTGGATGAGATGTTTGAAAAAGGATTAAACCCAAGTCACGTGACATACAATACTTTGATGGATGGATATTGTAGGGAAGGAAATCTTCGGGCAGCATTGATTGTGAGGACACGGATGGAGAGAAAAGGGAAACAAGCAAATGTTGTCACATACAATGTGCTGATCAAGGGTTTTTGTTTGAAGGGTAGGCTTGAAGATGCAAATGGGCTTCTCAATGAGATGTTGGAGAGGGGTTTGGTGCCTAATCGGACAACTTATGAGATTATTAAAGAGGAAATGATGGAGAAAGGGTTTGTTCCAGACATAGAAGGACATGTATATAATGTTTCTGAAACCAACGTAAAGAGAAGATAAATTGTTCACTGTCGCCATTACATATCATTTGATATGCAAATGCTGGTGTGGGAGGATGTTGGTTGAGTCTTCATCTGGGAACTTGTACATGAAAGCTTAAGCTCATCTAGATGGAATCTGATGCATTTTGGTTGTTGGAAACCTGACCTTCATACGGTACTTCTCACAAGTCCGTCTGCTCCTGAGTACACTTGGCCAGTTGCTGGAGTTTGTCACCCCTAACCAATTCAATGCATATATTTAACATTCGAGCTATTTTCTTGTATGGCAAAACAAGGAGTGGATCCTAATGTCACAGCACGCACTACATTGATTGCTGCTCATTGTTAGGATGGGAAGCAGCATGCATTTACCTAACTTTGTTAACATTAGAGAAAGGAGTTTTGCCTGATGTTTCGACACCTAGCTGCTTAATTGCTGATGCATGTAGAAGGGAGTGATCAAACCGACCAGGAATCTCAAAGGCGAGTTGCTTGGTGAGGGTTCTAGAGCTGAACTTGTTACTAACAACACATGGAAATAATTTCCGTTTTAAACTCTATATTCTTTGTAGAGAAACCCATACAAAAAGGGTAGAAAATCAGGAAAGAAAAAAAATTTTAAGGAAAAAATTAACAATTTTAAATGGCAATAATTTTGGAGATTTCAACTTCTCTTTGTGTGTGTGTGTGTAACCTGAAACCATAATGAATATTAAGGAGCAGAAGAAATGAAGCACTTTCTCCCTTTCGTTTCACTATTGCTTTCATAATCGTTCTGGCCAGCACCTGTATATTATCTTTCTCAAACCCTAACCCTATTTATATTTATTCTTTTGTGTGTTCTTTGTTTATTTGATGTAAATGGTGTTCTAAAATTTCATTTCTGATGATTTTAAAGGAACATTGTTGATATAGATCAGATGCGTTTGCTTAAATGAATTTTTCGCCGTAATCGCTTTAATTAATGTCCGAACTCAAGAATTTAAAATAGTAAACATATCTTCTTAACAATCAAATAAACCTCTCGGGGTTATATTTTCTATTCTTATAAAAAATTTGAATTTTTTGAGTCGTGAAGGTGTGCAAATGATGTAGTAGAAGCAGTGGATGATCCTTGTTACTATTAATGCACTTCAACGAATGGATTATCATTGTAAAAATATAAAGAATGTTTTAATAGTATTATTAAATTGTGGATTAATTTTAAAATTTTTACTTAATTTTTTACAACATGTAGGTGTTTTGAGTCTGGTAATTATATTAAATCTAAAAATATTTTTTATCAAATTCAAGTGTTTAATTTAATATATTTAATATCCATGTAGATCCAAAAACTTTAAGAACTTTAAGCTATACGACATCTATGTTAGATCCAAAAACTTTGAAAACTTTAAATTATGCTAGACTCAGGTAGTTTAGATTTAACAATCATGTTGAATTCAAGATTCCTATTAAATTCATGTAATTTTTTTGTGAAAATATAAAAAATCATTTATGAATGTTCAAAAAATATATTTATTTTGTATTTTCATTATCTTTTTAATCAAATATATTTTAATATTTTTTTTTTTATTTTGAGACGTTAACCATATACACTTCTAAATTCACTTAATTTTTTTATTAATATTTAATTTTAATTAAGAAATCATCTATAAAATTGCACAAATTTAGATAGTTAAAAGAGCAATAAGTCTTTTAGATATATAATATTTTCTTTTCCTATAATATAATGTATCAATTCAAAAGTTTTCTCTTATGAATATATATTTCAAATTTTCTTATATACTAATAGTTATAATATAAAATAAACTCCTTTTGTGGTAATCTTTGACAATTAGATTATATAATAACATCTTAAATTTAAAAAAAAATATGAACCTTTTAAAAAACTATCTAATACTTAGAAGAAAATATAAAATTAATATTTTTATTTGCATTCAAAAAAGAAAAGTTTATTTTGAAAGACTAGAAATAAATCACTTAGAACTCAATATTTTTTCTTTATTATTTTCTCTTTGAATATAACAAATTTATAAAATAAGTTGTACAAACAAAAAGAAGTTTATAGTTAAATTATACTGCATATAAATAAAAAATTATGTAAATTATGTTTAGATGAGGTAATGCTTGTTTTTGCAATCTAATCATGCATTTGAAAAAAATTAAATTTTTTCACCCAAACATGGGCCTGATAGACTTGAGTTATTAAACTCAAGTGTTTGGGTCTATACCTAAGCTATTTGAGGATGACAATTATACCAAACCCAAGTGTTATGGGTTTAGCAAACCATGTTCTATCCAAGTATTTTGAGTTCAATAATCATTTTTTATTTAACAAATAAAAAAATATGCAATTTAATTGTCGAAAGAGAGAAAAGAAAGAAAGAACACAAACAAATCGATCATCGGCAGCAATTCAATCATTTTTAATTTACATGTGTCACATTATATGAAAAAGGACACAACTGTACATTCAGTTAGATAATGAATGATCAGATTTGGCCACTAGAAAGTGTCCTACACGCCTTTTTAATGACAAGATCGATGCCTATTTGCCAGAGTATAAGAAACACATACTCGCAATTTTTCAATTAAAAAATAATAAATATTATGAAAATACTAAAATGTCCTTCATAATTCTAATAATCATACAAAATATCCATATAAAAATATCAAAACACTTCTAAAGGCAACGCTTTTTTTTTTTGGTCTTTTTTAAAGTTAAAAGTATTATTTAATTATACTTGAAAATTGAAAAAACTTCAATATCTCTAGGAAAGAAAGTCTAAGAAAACCGGTGTGAAAACTATAAAACATAACCCGTATTGTATGATACTCGGTGCATAACGTAATGGGTCGATTTGTTTACTCATTGATCCAAGAAGGCCGGTGTGAAAACTAAATAAGATAGTTGGAGAAAATCAATGGAGATATCGATTTACTGGAACAATTAACTAGTTTGAGAAAACCAATGGCATGATGACACATGGGACGAAAGCAAACTTAACAATTGAGATTCATGAAGATCAATCCAACAATGGAAGAACATAAAATCTATAAAACATTTTTGTTGTTAAAAAGGTGCTTGTTCGACTGCCTAAAATCCTTAATCCTTGTTAAAAAACAAAACAAAAAACCAATGAGACACCATGTACTTTTGTTTTTTGTTATAAATCATGTCACAGTAAAAAAAAAAATATTCTAAAAATAAATACAAGATAAATAATAACATAAACAACCATATTATATATTATGAATGTGGATGGTAATTCATCAGGCATTCCTAGTAAATCAGGTTCCCAAAAGCTTACATCATGTTGCTGGTATTTGTTTTTTCATGTAATATTTTTTGTCCGAAGTTTACTTGATCCTTCCATAAGAATATGTTACCTTCTTATGTAATGTCTGGTCGATGAGGCATTGTACTATGAGAGGATGATGTAGCTTGTTGGGTGGACTCACCGACTCGTTGATCCAATAACACTGATATACTTTTATTTAGTGAAACGCTAACTAGCTTGAGAAAACCAATGGCATAATGACACATGGGACCAAAAGCAAACTTAAAAATTGAAATTCAAGAAAATCATTCCAAAAATGGAAAAAACATGAAATCTTTAAATTATTTTCTCAGTGACTGCCTAAAATTATAATCCTTTTTTTTAATAAAATAAATGAGATACAATATCACAATAAAAAAATAAATTAAAATAACCGGTTTTTTTCTAAAAATAAATACAAAAAAAATAATAATGTAAACAACCATTTTATAAATGTGGATGGTAGTTGATTAGGCAATCCTAGTAGATATAGTTCAAAAGGGTTTATGAGTTTGATTTGGATGATTAAAAAACTTGTTTTCAAGTTTGATTTTTTATCTAAACATCTAGAAACTAATAATTATTTAAATAAGAACAATTTGAATAAAATTCAATTAATATGTATTAAATAATATAATGTAATAAAAAAGACTTCACGTGTATTTAATAATATAATACAATTTTTCTTATGCATAAATATTTTTAAAATGTTTCTTAATAATTTTAACTTTTTATACTGAGATCATAAAAAAAAAAAGAGAGTAATATTAACGCCATTTTAAATTACAAATACTCAAAACACATTGCCAAATATAAGTCATTAATAAATAAATAAATAAATAAGAAAAGTCAACATGGGCAAACCATCAAAAGTTCAAAACGGTGCGTGGTCTCTTGAATTTTTGAATTTTCAGTCTCCCCTTGCATCTTGTGATAAATTCAGTAGTCCATGCACGAAGTCTCCATTGGCAAGAAGAAAGAACAATCTTCTTACCTTTCTTACATGTTATCATAAAAAAGCAGACAACTTGAAGCTTAATAAGCGAAAAAAGATTATTCGTTTCTTCAATCATTAACTACTTAAACAAACAGTTCTTTGAAACACAAACACGAGAAACCATACTTGTTTTGTTTTTATGGATTTCCAAAAGAGGAGGGTTCAGTTTCTTGTCTTTATAGTTGGAACCATTGCTCTTAGCATCACAGGTACTTGTTTTTGTTATTTTGATGTGTAATTCTTTGTGGGTTTTTTTATTTGATTCTATTTGAGGTTAAAAGTCTGAATCTTTAAGGGTCAAGGAGATTTGTTTTTGGTTTTGATTGAGTTTTTGAATTATGGGTTGGTGGATCTTTGATTGGTTTTTGTTTTTTGTTCTGTGTGTGTGAAATTTGTGATCTTTTGTGTTGTAGGGATTCATTTCTAATCTGGGTTTGTTGGTTACTTACTAAAGATCCAATCTATGATTAAGGACTGGATGCTGATAGCACCCTGATTTAGTAATTTGATTGTATCAGTGTAAATGTACTGAAATTTTGATATTGGTGAAATTTGATTGGGATGGTGTAAATAAGTAGGTAAAATTTCCAGGCTTGATGGTCAAAATTTAGAGGTTTTGAATTCTTTTTCATTTAATTGGCTAAACTTGTGGGGTCTGGAGAGCGTTCACGGTGAAATCGATTGCAAATTCTGAATTTTTAAGGCAATGCAGCTGATGTGAAATAGTCTAATTAAATGTTGAGATCACCTAGCTTGGTATAGTTTTAATGATTATCTCTTATGAGCATCTAGTAAGTACTGTTTTGTAGAAGTGGTTCTTATGTTTTAGGACAAAATCAGGAACAATCAGTTTGACCTTACAAATGTATAAAATGCATGTATGTGTTTCTTTCACAATGTCGGCGTGTGTTTGTGTGTGCCTGCAAACAACTTTATCTTTGCATTGCACGTTCTAGGTGTTCATAGCATAAACACAATATTCTCATCAAGTCTAGATTCTAACCAAATCCATTCTGTGCTTAGTTGTTGGATCTTTGAAAGTAGAGCAGAGGCTGGTTTCTTAAATTATCATCTGAACTTAACAAAATTGAATGTAAAATGTATCGGCTAGAAATTTTCTGCACAACATGAGATGCTTATATGTGGTTCCATTTTATAGCTGAAAAATGTCGGCAACTGGTTGGGGATGATTATTCATCCCAGAGTGGGAAGTTTACAATCTTTAACTGCTTTGACATGGGATCTGGAACACTAGCATGTGCGGTGAAAGAAGGTGTAAAACTTTATTTCTACAATATCAGATCTTCTCATGTTGAGAGAGCAAGAAATCTTGCAATTGAGCGTTCATTACTTGATACAATAGGACAGGGAATGTCTGCGCAAGATGTGGCAAAAACAGCACAGAAAGAAGGGGCAAAGGCAGCGAAGCTGGCGAAGCGGCAA